GGCATCTAGGTTGGTTCTACAGTTTAGCTATTGTGAATTGTGCTGCTATAAACATTGATGTGGCTGTGTCCCTGTAGTATGCTCTTCTTAGGTCTGTTGGGTATAGTCGAAGAAGGGGAATAGCTGGGTCAAATGGTGGTTCCATTCCCAGCTTTCCAACGAATCTCCATACTGCTTTGCAATCCCACCAGCAATGTATAAGTGTACATTTTTCCCCAGATCCTCGCCAGCACTTATTGTTGTTTGACTTCAGAATGGCTGCCATTCTTATTGGAGTGAGATGGTATCTTGGGGTGGTTTTGATTTGCATTTCTCTGACTGCTAGAGATGGTGAGCATTTTTTCATGTATTTGTTGATTGATTGTATATCCTCTTCTGAGAAGTTTCTGTTCAAGTCCTTGGCCCATTTGTTGATTGGGTTATTTGCTTTTTTATTCTTTAACTTTTTGAGTTCTTTGTGGACTCTATTGATTAGAGCTCTATCTGATGTTTGAGGGGTAAAAATTTGTTCCCAAGATGTAGGCACCACATATTATTTCTCTTGCCGAGAAAAAACTTTTTAGTTTGAATACATCCCATTTGTTGATTCTTGGTTTTAACTCTTGTGCTATAGGTGTCTTATTAAGAAATTTGGGGCCTGCCCCCATGTGATGAAGATTAGGACCAACTTTATCTTCTATTAGACGCAGAGTCTCTGGTCTGATTCCTAGCTCCTTGATCCATTTTGAGTTGACTTCTGTGCATGGTGAGAGAAAGGGATTCAATTTCATTTTATTGCATATGGATTTCCAGTTCTCCCAGCACTATTTGTTGAAGATGCTATCCTTTCTCCATTGCATGGTTTTAGCACCTTTGTCTAATATAAGGTAGTTGTAATTTTGTGGATTTGTCTCTGTGTCCTCTATTTTGTACCATTGGTCTACCAGCCTGTTTTGGTGCCAGTACCATGCTGTTTTTGTTACTATTGCTCTATATAGTATAGTTTAAGGTCTTGAATCACGGTACCACCAATTTCACTATTCCTGCTTAGAATTACTTTAGCTATTCTGGGTCTCTTGTTTTTCCAGATGAATTTCATGATTGCTTTTTCTATTTCTGAAAGGAATGTCATTGGGATTTTGATGGGAATTGCACTGAATCTATAAAGTGCTTTTGGTAGTATGGCCATCTTAATAATACTAATTCTACCAATCCACGAGCAAGGTAAATCCTTCCATCTTCTAAAGTCTTCTTCTATTTATTTCTTCAGAGTTCTATAGTTTTCATTGTATATCTCTTTCACCTCTTTTGTTAAGTTGATTCCCAGGTATTTTATTTTATTTTATTTGAGGATATTGTGAATGGAGTAGTTGTCCTCATTTCCATTTCAGAGGATTTGTCACTGATATACAGGGATGCCTTTGATTTATTGATATTGATTTTATATCCTGCCACTTTGCTGAATTCATTTACTAATTCTAGAAGTTTCTTGGTTGAATTTCTTGGGTCTGCTAGGTATAGGATCATGTCATCAGCAAATAGTGCTAATTTAAGCTCTTCTTTTCCTATATTTATGCCTTTAATTTCTTTCATCTAATTGCTCTGGCTAGTATTCCAAGAACTATGTTGAATAGAAGTGGTGAGACAGGGCATCCCTGTCTTGTTCCAGATTTTAAAGGAAATGCCTTCAGTTTTTCTCCATTCAGAATGATTCTGGCCTGAGGCTTACCATATATAGCTTTTACCATTTTGAGGTAATTTCCTGTTATCCCTAATTTTTCTAGTGTTTTGAACATAAAGGGATGCTGTATTTTGTCAAATGCTTTTTCAGCATCTATCTATCTGCCACACCCTTCTTACATGATGTTCTGCTTTACCTTGAGCCTCAGGGAATGAAGTTAGCCATCTATGGACTTGGACCTCTGAAACTGAGCCCCCACATTTGTCTAATTGCTCTTGTCAGGTCTTTTTGGTCATGGCAGAAAAAAGCTGACTAAAACAATAATAAAATTTTCATTTCAAAGGTACCCTCCATTTCTTATACCCAGATGATTGGAACATCCTTATCCTTGAAGACAGAAATGCTAGGAAGGATCTGAATAAATAAGCCTTGCTAAGTTACTCTCAATTTATTATCATTAGATCATATTCCTTTTGTCCAATTGTACTTCAACAATAATAGTTCACTCTCCATCAAATATAAGCATAAAAACATTCAGGTTTCTCTGATATCATGGATCTTCATTTGTGAAGGTTGCTTTGTCTTGCAAAACTTACATTAAATAAATTTGTATACTTTTCTCTTTTCAGTCTGTCTTTTGTTATATGAAACTAAGAATGGGTGAGAAATCTTTTCTCTCCTTTAACTCTTGTGCCTAAAGGGAAATCTGGTTATGGTTACTACTATCTATGCCTGTCTAAAAAGTGGAGATTATTGCTTTCCTCAGGAAACACCTATCTCTTTGCAGCCAATCTCATGACCCCTTACAGGGAAGATCATTCATGCTTCTACTGCCTTCTCTGACTAAAACCCCTCCAAGTTTCCACCATGAACTCCTGACCTTCGCCTCTGATTATAACCACTCTTACCTTTGTATTACACACAAATATAAGCAATATTTACATATAGTTTACTAAATTATCATTTCATAACCTCTAACAACATAACTGCTAGACCTGGCAACTTGACCTGATTATATTTCTAACATGCTTTACAATTCTACCAAGATAGTTTTAGAGAATACAAAGTTTCACATTTGTTTTACTTGGCTAATACCATATACATGGGAAACCTGGTTATGGGCCAGCCTGCAGAGACTCCTTGTACTTGTACTTATGTTCCTTATTTCTTATTCTCATAATAAAATAAGTTCTATGACTTTTGGTGCAATTTATGTCCTTCTCTCCAAAAATCTTAACAAAAATCACCTGAAAGTTTTGTTAATGATGCCAGAGCATCAGAGGACCAATTATATAGTAAATATTTAAAAATTTTGTATATATTTTGACACCTAAAAACAAAACCACACACCTTACTGGCTAGGGAGAGATTGCCTCTCCCTGGGCTTGCCATTTCTCAAAGATTAACAAAGGGTCCAACTAGAGCATCTGTTTTGATATAAATACTAACAAACACACAACTGTAAATCCTCCATGTGGCCATTATATCTCAGGAAGCAATATTTCTCTGCCTCTGTCATTCCAGGGCTAGGTACCAGACAACTTGAGATCATCCTTATGGCTTAGAACTCCTCCCCAAATTATTCAAAGTAACCAATCCTAAAAGTTTAGTACTATCCTGCCTGCCTTTCCTATGGAAACCCTAGTAAAGTTCTCAGGATAAGGGTCCCCCTCATTCCTATCTTCTGCCTTATGGCCACTCCAGTGTCTTTTGCGTATGATCCTCTGTGGATTGTTATACCTCCTGTCTCTAAGACCTGGGAGTGTAATAGAATAAAAAGCACAATATTTTCCTGAGTCTCTGTCTTCTCTTGTGGTTATAACTTACTATCACATAAAATAATTATAAAAGAGTCGTTTTACCAAAGAATATGGGAGAAGATAGTAGGGCTATCTACATAGAATCAGAGAAAAGTTATATTAATGTAGAATGAGAATTCCACCCTCAATTCCCTATCCTTTTTCCTCAGATCCTCTACTCTGGTCATCTTAAACTTGACATTTTTTGCTTAAACTGATCTTATTGGGCCAAATTTTTCATGTCTTTCTTCATTTGTCATACTCTTAATTAACAAATATTGCCAAGCTAAACAAAATAATACAGACTACTCTCTATGTACCTGCCACTCAACTTAATCAATATAACATTACGAATACCATTGAAGCCCAAAATTTATTCTCCTCTTTTTCCAGAAATATCCAGTATCCTAAAAAACATGTTGATTATTCTCTTACATGAGTTTCTGTATGCTAAATATGCAGGCATCATGTTATTGCATTCTTTTAACTACATATATGTACCCATAAGCAATTTATGGTGATGGCTCTGAATGTTTTAAACATTTTAAATGTTTGTAAACATTTTTTTTCTTTCTTATAAGACCATTCAGGGATATACATAAAGCTTTTCATACTAAAATTCTGCATTATTGTGATAAACCATGAACTTTTCATCTCCCACAATTTCACTAAGCCCATCAGGGCCCTATACTTCGAAGTCTCCATTCCTGTCCTCTTCTACTCTAAATTCTCTGCAAGCAGTAGAATCCAGTGGGATCAAGAGGATGTGCACACATAGAGACCAAGCCCCATTCTTTCACACATGCTTCACATACTGGGGCTATTCCTCAGTCTAAAACTTTTCTATCCCATTTAGAACCATAACAAGTCAGCAAATGAAGGTTGGTCTTACTCTAGGTGAGGTCTGCTGGGTTACCCTATTGCTTTAAATCAGGTTTCTCAGTTTCATTTGTTTGGACGTACCTGGAAGATATATAAGTCCTGATTGCTAGACTGCCTTAAGTAGATTTGGAATAGGGCCCCAAGGAGCTGCATTTTTATTAAGTTCCCAGCTGCTACTGATGCTGATGGCTGATAGCAGCCAATTTATACCATTTGGTCTCCTGGTAAGATAGGCCATTCATTGGTTTCCTTCAATAAATGCAGTAGGGGCTACACCTTCATATTTTTTGTCAAATATTTACAATTTCGATTTTAGTTTATTTTGATCTACATTTAAATAATTTGTCAAAAACCTAAAAGAAAGTTTTAGATTTTGAGAGTTTTGATCATAAAGAAATGATAAATATTTAAGGAGAATAAGTTCAATCTCTTTTAAACATTATGTGATGCACACGTGTGTACATTACATAGTACCTCATCAATTTGTACATTTTTTTGCTTTTATGTATCAGATAATAAATTTAATAAAGATTTTTTAAAAAATCTGGCTAATAATGAAAGAACCTCATTTTATTTATAGCAATGAGGTCCAAAATAAAAAAAAGATATAAAGTTAGATTTGAGTCATAGTTATTCACATAAATAATGTACACTTTATACATTTCAAACAAGCTTTTATTTTTAACAAAACAGAAGCAGTCAAATATATCAGCAAAAAGTTAGCATATAGACAGATGTCAGTTGATGTCTTTTTTTGTGTGATGAACTTTGGAAAAAAATTAGTGTTCTGGGTAAATTTAAAGTAGAAAAATCATGAAGAACAAATTCGCTGTTTCTTTCTCCATCCATTTCTTTCTGTTTTCCAACTGTAGAATGAAACAAAGGACAATTAACATTTGTATGCCATTAACACATATTCTTTAAATCTGAGTAGATGTTATGTATATCTGTTGTCTCAGTGAGTAGAAACCAAACAAGTTCCTCTTAGAAATAGAACTTTAGATATGGCGGTGCTCAGGCCTTTGAGGGCTTTAATCACCTGATCACATTAATGTCATTGTCTCCTTGCCCACCACAATAAATGCTAATAAATTCTCTTTTTTATGAGAAGCTACTTGATTTACATAATCTTCCTGCCCATGCTCTTTACACCAACCACATATATTTCCATAAGCTCTCATAACCTCAGTTTTTATATCTGCAAAATGAGAATGAGGCTATTATCTGATGTCCACAGATCTGAAAATTCAGAAAGAGAAAAACAAACACTGAAAATATAAGAACTAGTTTCTGACTCAGTGATAAACAAGTGTTACTAATTGTCTTTTTTTGTTTGAATGTTCTATGAAAACTAGTACTTATGTAGTGAAATAAGGTCTCACTTGACATCCCGAACCTTTTATTACTTTGTCAACAGTCAACCCTATCAAAGGCATTGTTAGTGTAAGAGGCTACCTTTTTGTGGTCAAGCAATGAAAGCCCAGCTAATACATGGCCCAGTCACTTTATCTGCTTCTTTGGTCTCAGCTACAAGGTCTGATAAATTTCCCATCTATAGTTACCTTATAGCTATAGGATAAAGAACTTGTAGCCAGGAATAAAGTACATGTCAGAATATACTACCTTCTGTTCCCTAACATATAAGCACATTATTAATACCAAACTGTTTTCAAACTAAATTGTAGCAATATTTCATTTGACTTAGGAGAAAACTGCAAAACATAAAAGTAACAAGTGTGTGCCAGGAAGGTTAGTTAATACTCAAGACTCTAAATCAATACCTGGATTTCTAAGGGAGGCTGCTCTCTGCTGAGTCCAGATCCTTTTGGGGTTTTTCTTCCAGTTCTTCACTTCCATTCCCTTCCTCTTCCCCATCCTCACCTCTAGTTTCTTCAGACACTTCATTATGTTTTTTGTAGTAATATTCAGCTGCTTCTTTAGCCAGTATTGATAGAGGCTTAGGGACCCTAAGGTCACAGAAATAATATCCCACCTTACACTTGGTTTTGGCATCTGGTACTCTATCCTCAGGAAAATCTGGATAAAAGAAATACATGGAAAAAAGAAATATCTCTATTAGTTTCTATTGAATGATACAATACTTCCGTGGCTCTAATAATTCTTCTGCTAGATAGCTTTCATGGTATTATCCCTTCCACCATTTCAGGTATTAGTGGATTATAAACTGCTTCTAGCAAGATAATTATTAGGGCTTTTATTATTAATATTAGTGTATTTTGCTATCAAACACCACCCCAGTGCTGCTGATTATTTATGGTACCTGATAGAAGAAAGGATTTGAATCATTTAGGTCTGATCGCATGTATAATTTTGTTGTAACTTTCTTGAAAATAGATTCGTTTGACTTAAAACAATTCTATGGTGAAGCTCACTGGTTCCTCAATCCCTGAAAAGAGAATGTTTACACCTGTGAAGTGCTCTAATATTGGTTCACTCTTTTTTTTTAAATTTTGATCATCCTACCAAGAAACCACATTTATTATTACTTTTTTAATTTTTTCAGTGGTGCTGGGAATCAAACCCAGGGCCTTGTGCATGTGAGGCAAGCACTCTACCAATTGAGCTATATCCCCAGCCCTAAGAAACCACATTTTTTTAAAAGCTGACAACCACAAGTGAGGAATGCCACTTGTCCACTTGTTTCTCCTTTGCCTTCAGGCGCTTTCCATTCCTTTCAAAGGTCTTTCCTGATATATCTACTAATCACTGACGTTCAAGTTTGCAGGCTCATACACTGCATTGTCTCAGATCTTTTATCAAACTGAGGTTGGTAGAAGGCAGCACAGTTGAGATTCTCAAAACCAGAAAGTCTTTCTCCGATTGGGTTTCTTTTTCTTTTCTTTCTTTCTTTTTTTAATGAGAATATCGACCCACTGCTTACCCAGGCAGGCAAGATCTGAGCACGGCCTGTGAGTGAGCCAGCCAAGCCAACAGAGGCTGCAAGGGCCAGAGGACTTTGCTGCTACTCAGCAACCTTGGCCCCCTCGGGTGCTCAGGCCCCCGCCTCCCTAGACTCAACCGTAGCCATCCGAGCCATAGGCCAGACACCGCCCTCTTAGACCTTGTCCTCTGGGACGCTGTCCTGTCTGCAGGGTCCACTGCCACCCAGGACCGGGATCCCTTTGCCAGCTATTGCTCTCCACAGGCCTCGGCTCCGACTGCCAGGTCCTCCCCACTCCCAACCCACGGGCTCCTCTACCAGCTCCCTGGGGTCCCACGAGGTGACACCTGGTCACCACGAGGCCCGTGTGGGGCCAGACCAGGATGAGGTCATTATAGAAGCTACTGTGGAGAAGGGAAGGAGAACTGGGACTGAAACACCACAGGAAACTCACAGACACCAGCAGCTGCTGCACCCTCTTCGTTCTCCTCACCGCCATCGTCTTCCTCATCATCTCCTTCCTCTTCCTCACCACCATCATCCTCCTCCAGTTCCTGGTAGTGTTCTACCTTCAGCTCCCCCTCGTCCTCCTCCTCCTCCTCCTCCTCCTCGTCCTTCTCGTCCTCCTCGTCCTCCTCCTCCTCCTCCTCTTCTAGAGGCTGTACATTCTTGTTCTCCGTGATAGCGGGCCAGGTTACTTCCTCATGCCTCTTGTTTTCAAAGGCTTTTACAACCACCTGGAAAGCCAGAAGGGCTGCGACTCCCGCCACTGCAGCCAACCATTCCATAGGCACCAAGAGACTGCCTAGGGACCCAGGGTCCAGGCTTGCCTCTTCGTCAGCTTCACTCTGGCCACTTGGGACCAGGTCTTGTTTGTTGGTGTCAGACATGGCCCGGGAGACAAGTCAGCAAAGACTTCGACTGGGAGCGGCAACCTGGCTGCAATGACGACGTCAGTGAAGATGGCGTCGCCCAGACGCGTGCTGTGAGGGGGGGGGGTTTAGTCACAGGGCATGCTGGGAGGCGGAGGCGGTGCTGGAGAGGGCGCCACCCATGAAATAGCATACTGAGAGTTTGCCTGTGCGGGACCGTGATAGATAGGAAGTGCATGAAGGAGGCTGAAGAAGCGGTCCATTGCAACTGCACCCTGAGACAAGGCGGGAAAGTTTCTTTTATGCTGATCATGGGGGTGGAGCATGGAAGGGTCAAGAAAGGGTCCTGGATTGCCCAAAGCTCTCTTGCTGAGAAGCGAGGATTGACATGCCCCATATCCAATGGATGGTCAAGGTCCTCAGGTTTCTTTAATGAAGCCCTGGATCTTCAGGTAAGCCCTGTTCTCTTAATTCTACCTATGTCAGCAAAACTGCTGTGTAGGGTTCAATATGCCATAGACCCAGAACATTCAGTATTTTGTTCCTAGTGTCCACTAGAACACAGGTTGTACCAGTAGGGGAAAAAGTTGTTTAAAATTGAGGAAAAGTATAGATAAATTTTCAGCAGACCAAACCCCTTTCAGAAGGGGTGGGGCAGAAAGTTAATTTGGACATTTTAACATAATTAAACCCATGCCTGGCCATTATGAGAAGTTCTGAGATTCTTAGAGACAAGAAGTGATTTGTCTAAACCCTCTGTAATAAAGATATCTGTGACCTGCTCTTAACAGCAGCATTTGTTGTAATTGCAATTGAAACAGGTGTTAGTGACTTTTCTTGGACTCATTCAAGGTAGACAGATTTTCAAATAACAGCATCAGAGAACTTAAGTAAAATTTGTAAATGAAGATTATTTTGCACTCAGGATCCAAATGTTCTAAAAGATGTCAGGTTTGTTTTAGTACTATGAGTGTCAAGAGGATCAATAAGTATTTATTTATTTTATTTTTGTGTGTGTAATAAGTAAAAATATACTCTAATGTCATGTATAACTAAAAAGAACAAATAAAAAATTAAAACATTATTTTCAACTGATATATAAAAACATTTAAATTTTAGTCTATAGATAAGATCACATAGGCTTCCCATTTGTATATTAAATAAAATTGAAAGTGTTGCCTTGACACCTTTTAGCTTCATAAATCCTGAAAGGCTTAACTGATTTCCCCTGCTCTAGCTCAGTGTATCCCTACCTAATGGGGCTAGTTTCCTATACAACTTGTTCCTCTAGTTGTTGAGTTATCCATGCATCCACCTACTAGCTTTCACATCCCTGCCAAACCACAAAAGTATTTAAATAAAGTAGACATCATTTTTGTGAGAACTAAGGTATTTGCCAACCTGGTTGGATTTTTGATGTTTAGATTTTTTATTTTTTATATATCCTAGGGATTAGTGCTCTATCTGATGTGAGTGTGGTAAAAATTTGCTTCCAAAATGATTGTTTCTTCTGCTAAGAAGCAGCTTTTCAGTTTGAATCCATCTCATTTATTGATTACTGATTTTAATTCTTGCACTATAGGAGTCTTATTAAGGAAGTTGACACTAATCCAACATGATGGAGATTTGGGCCTATTTTTTCTTCTATCAGACACATGGTCTCTGGTTTAATTCCTAGGTCTTTGATCCACTTTGTGTTGAGTTTTGTGCATGGTGAGAGATAGGGGTTTAATTTCATTTTGTTACATATGGATTTCCAGTTTTCCCAGCACCATTTGTTGAAGAGGCTATCTTTTCTCCAATATATGTTTTTGGCACCTTTGTCTAATATAAGATAACTGTAATTATGTGGGTTAGTCTCTGTATAATTTATTCTGTACCATTGGTCTACCAGTCTATTTTGGTGCCAATACCATACTATTTTTGTTACTATTGATCTGTAGTATATTTTAAGGTCTTGGTATAGTGATGCCACTTGCTTCACTCTTCTTGCTAAGGATTGCTTTAGCTATTCTGGGTCTCTAATTTTCCCACATGAATTTCATGACTCCTTTTTCTATTTCAATGAGGAATGTCATTGGGATTTTGATTGTAATTGCAATCAATTTGTATAGAGATTTTGGTAGAATGGTCATTTTGATAATATTAATTCTGCCTAACCAAGAACAAGTGAGATTTTCCATCTTCTAAGGACTTCTTTAATTTCTTTCTTTAGAATTCTGTAGTTTTCATCACATAGGTCTTTTCCTCTTTTGTTAAGTTGATTTCCAAGGTTTTTTTTTTTTGAGGTTGTTGTAAATGGTGTAGTTTTCCTCATTTCCCTTTCAGAGAATTTGTCACTGATGTACAGAAATGCCTTTGATTTATGGGTGTTGATTTTATATCCTGCTATTTTGCTGAATTCATTTACTAGTTCTAGAAGTTTTCTGGTGGAATTTTTTGGGTTTTTTTTTTTAGGTATAGAATCATATCATTGGAAAATAGTATTAATTTGAGTTCTTCTTTTCCTATCCATATCCCTTTAATTTTTTTCATATGTCTAATTCTCTGGCAAGTGTTTCAAGAACTATATTAAATAGAAGTGATGAAATAGGGCATAACTGTCTTGTTCCAGATTTTAGAGGGAATGCTTTCAATTTTTCTCCATTTAGAATGATGTTGCATGGGGCTTAGCATAGATAGCTTTTATGATGTTCAGATATGTTCCTGTTATTCCTAGTTTTTCTAGTGTTTTGAACATAAGAGGTGCTGTATTTTTTTAATATTTATTTTTTAGCTTTAGGTAGACACAATATCTTTATTTTATTTTTATGTGGTGCTGAGGATCGAACCCAGTGCCTCACGCATGCCACGCAAGTGCACTACTACTTGAGCTATATCCCCAGCCCCAAGGTGCTGTATTTTGTCAAATGCTTTTTCTGTGTCTATTGATATGGTCATATAATTCTTATCTTTAAGTCTATTGATGTGGTGAATTACATTTATTGATTTCCATATGTTGAACCAACCTTGCATCCCTGGGATGAACCCCCACTTGATTGTGGTTCACTATATTTTGATATGTTTTTGTATTCGATTTGCCAGAATTTTAGCATATATGTTCATTAGAGATATTGGTCTGAAGTTTTCTTTCTTTGATCTGTCTTTGTCTTGTTTTGGAACCAAGGTGATGTTGGCCTCATAGAATGAATTTGGAAGTGCTCCCTCTTTTTCTATTTCATAAAATAATTTGAAGAGTATTAGAATTAGTTTTTCTTGAAAGGTATTATAGAACTCAGCTCTGTATCCATCTGGTCCTGGGCTTTTCTTAGTTGGTAGGCTTCTGATGGCATCTTCTATTTCATTGATTGAAATTTATCTGTTTAAATTGTATTCATCATCCTGTTTCAATTTGGGCAAATTGTATGACTCTAGAAATTTGTTGATGCTTTGATATTTTCTATTTTATTGGAATACAAGTTTTCTAAATAATTTCTAATTATTCTCTGTATTTCTGTAATATCTCTTCTGATATTTCCTTTTCATCACATTAGTAATTTGAGTTTTCTCTCTTTCTTCATTAGCATTTCTAAGGTTTTTGTCAATTTTATTTTTTAAGAACAAACTTTTTGTTTTGTCAGTTCATTTAATTGTTTCTTTTGTTTCAATTTCACTGATTTCAGCTCTGATTTAAATTATTTCCTGTTTTCTACTGTATATCGTTCCCTGTCTTCCTTTTCTTGGGCTTTGAGATACAATATTAGGTCATTTACTTGTTGACTTTTTCTTCTTTTAAGGAATGAATTCCATGCAATGAACTTTCCTCTTAGTACTGCCTTCATAGTGTGTCAGAGATTTTGATACGTTGTTTCAGTGTTCTGATTTACCTCTAAGAATTTTTTAATCTCCTCCTTGATGTCTTTTGCAACCCATTGTTCATTCAGTAGGATATTATTTAGTTCCCAGATGTTGGAGTAGTTTTTATTTTTTATTTTATCATTGATTTCTAATTTCATTCCAATATAATCTGATAGAATGAAGGGTAGTATCTCTACTTTTCTGTATTAGCTAAGAGTTGCTTTGTGGTATATACATGGTCTATTTTAGAGAAGGATCCATGTGCTGCTGAGAAGAACGTGTATATTCTATATATGTCAGTTAAGTCTAAGTTTTTGATTGTATTATTGAATTCTATAGTTTCTTTGTTCAGCTTTTGTTTGGAAGATGCATACAGGGGTGAAAGAAGTGTGTTAAAGTCACCTAGAATTATTGTGTTTCGATCCTTTTGACGCTTGAACTTGAGAAAAGTTTGTTTGATGAACATAGATGCTCCATTGTTTGGGGCATATATATTTATAATTGTTAGTTTTTTTATGTATGGTTCCCTTGAGCACTATGTAGTGTCCTTCTTTATCCCTTTTGATTCACTTTAGCTTGAAGTCTGCTTTATTTGATATGAGGATGGAAACCCCTGCTTGCTTCCACAGACCATGTGAATGGTATGGTTTTTCCCAATTTTGCACCTTCGGTCTGTGTATGTCTTTTCCTGTGTTTGAATTTCTTAGAGGCAGCATATTGTTGGGACTTTTTTTGATCCGATCTGCTAGCTGTGTCTTTTTAAAAAATATTTTTAAGTTGCCAGTGGATTTTTAACTTTGTTTATTTATATGTGGTGCTGAGGATCGAACCCAGGGCCTCACACATGTTAGGCAAGTCTCTACCACTGAGCCACTACCCCAGCCCTAAGCTGTGTCTTTTGATTGGTGAGTTTAGGCCATTCACATTCAGGGTTATTATTGAGATATGATTTGTATTCCCAGTCATTTTTGTTTATTTTTATTATTTTACTTGACTTAGTTTCTCCTTTGATTAGTTTTTCCTTTAGTGTAATACCTCCCTCTGCTGATCTTCATTGTTGTTTTTCATTTCCTCTTCATGGAATATTTTTCTAAGGATGTTTGTTCTATAGTGCAGGTTTTCTAGTTATAAATTCCTTTACCTTTTGTTTATCATGGAAGGTTTTTATTTCATCATCAAATCTAAAAGTTAGTTTTGCTGGATATAAGATTCTTGGTTGACATCCATTTTCTTTCAGAGCTTCTTCCAGGATCTTCTAGCTATCAGAGTCTAGGTTGAAAAATCTTTACATAACCTAATTGGTTTCCCCCTATATATAATCTGATTCCTTTTCTTGCCACTTTTAAAATTCTCTCCTTATTCTGTATGTTAGGCATTTTGATTATAATATGCCTTGATGTGTATCTTTTGTGATTTTGTACATTTGGTGTCCTGTAAGATTCTTGTATTTGGTTTTCCATTTCATTCTCTATGTTTGGAAAATTTTCTGATATTATTTCATTGAATAGTTTGCTCATTCCTTTGATTTGGAACTGCCTTCCTCTATCCCAATAACTCTTAAATTTGGTCTTTTTATGCTATCCCATATTTCTTGAATGTTCTGCTCATGGTTTCTTACAATTTTCACTGTGTGGTCTACATTATTTTCCAGATCATATATTTTGTCTTCATTATCTGAGGTCCTATCTTCCATGTGTTCTAATATGTTGGTGATGCTTTCAATTGAGCTTTAATTTGGTTTATTGTTTCTTTAATTTCAAGGGTTTCTGTTTGGTTCTTTTTAGAACCTCTATCTGTTATCTTTTGCTTCCTGTATTAGCTTATGTAGCTCTTTATCAAAATGATCTTTTGCTGCCCTTTTTTGCTCTGTTATATCATCCTTTAATTCACAGAACATTTTAATTATGTACATCCTGAACTCCTTCTCTGTAATTTCTTCTGCTGTGCTGGCCATGGATTCTAATAATGTGGTATCTTGATTTGTTTAGGGCACTTTCTTCCCTTGTCTTTTCATGTTTTTCCTGTGCCTTCCCTTCTAGCAGTGTGGATTCAAAACATTACCATTTTTACCCTATAGGTTTATAATGCCTCTGTAGGGTTCCAGTACCTCTCCTTTGAGGGGAAGGACAATGTTAACAGATCCCAATGTAAACAATATACAACCTTAAATCAAAAAGTTGCTGTGAATATGTTTACATACAGTTTGGTCACAATGTACAGAAATGGTGAATTCAGTTATTATCTACAATATAATCAGTAGGTTTGCAAAAAGCTTTAAGGTTTCTGATGGTGGACAAAAAAACCAGGGAGTGAGGTGTAGAATGATATGCTGATGAGGTAGGAGGTGAGGATATAGAGTTATTAGATCTTAGGAAGTGTGAAAGAGAAATCTAAAGAAGGTGGCTAGTAGCAGGAGGAGAGAGGAGGTAATTTTGGGTAGACATATAAGTGGGAAGACAGTAGACTATGTAAAACAAACACAAATATATATTAAGAAAAATGAAGAAAATGTTAAAATAGTAAAAATTGGAGAAGAAAATAAGAATATACAACACAACTGTAATA